ATAAAATACGTGCTAAAGGAATAACTGGGAAAGTGGGGAGATGGATCTTCAACTTCCTAACAAATCGAACACAAGAGTAGTGGTCAACAGAGTTAAATCGGAGGCTGCCATAGTGATGAGCTCTGTTCCACAAGGCACAGTACTCGCCCCCATCTTATTCCTTATCCTCATATCAGACATAGAGATATACACCACAGCACCGTATCATCCTTTGCGGATGATACTAGGATCTGCATGAGGCTGTCATCTGCTGAGGACGCGGTTAACCTCCAAGAAGATATAAACAAAGTTTTCCAGTGGGCAACGGTAAACAATATGATGTTCAATGAGGACAAATTCCAACTACTCCGTATGGAAAACTGGAGGAGATAATAACTAGAACAGAGTATACTACTGACTCCGGCCATACAATAGAGCGGAAAAATAATGTAAGGGACCTGGGAGTAGTAATGTCTGAGGATCTCACTTTCAAGGATCACAACAGTGCCACGATCGCACGTGCAAAGAAAATGATAGGATGGATAATGAGAACTTTCAAAACGAGAGATGCCAAGCCTATGATGATCCTTTTCAAATCACTTGTTCTCTGTAGGCTGGAATACTGCTGTACATTAACATCTCCATTCAAAGCAGGTGAAATCGCAGATCTAGAGAGTGTACAGAGATCCTTTACTGCACGTATAAGTTCTGTCAAACACCTTAACTACTGGGAACGCTTGGAAGCACTTGACTTGTACTCGTTGGAACGCAGGAGGGAGAGATACATCATAATCTACACTTGGAAAATCTTGGAAGGAATGGTCCCAAATCTGCACACAGAAATCACTCCCTACGAAAGTAAAAGACTGGGCAGGCGATGCAAAATGCCCCCAATAAAAAGTAGGGGCGCCATTGGTACACTAAGAGAAAACACCATAAGTGTCCGGGGCCCAAAACTGTTCAACAGCCTCCCATCAAGCATTAGGGGAATTGCCAATAAACCCCTGGCTGCCTTCAAGAGAGAGCTGGACAGATACCTAAAGTCAGTGCCGGATCGGCCGGGCTGTGGCTCGTACGTTGGACTGCGTGCGGCCAGCAGTAACAGCCTAGTTGATCAGGCCCTGATCCATCGGGAGGCCTGGTCATGGACCGGGCCGCGGGGGCGTTGATCCCCGGAATAACCTCCAGGTAAGTACAAGGCGCTATTTGCCTACTGAGGTTTTGAGGTGGCAGAGAGAGGCGGTGACTCTGTATATTGGACAGAAGCTGAAATGACACAAATATATTAACTGTGCCTACTTTCAGATATTTCTCATCCGTGCACGCCTCTACTTATCATTATTAGTTGTTGTGATGTAATAACTGACAAAGTGATAAACCAAGGTTAGCATTCCACAAGTTCCCAAAGGATTTAGAAAGAAGAGAAGTAAAGTTCTGACGTGAATATAGATGTCTGTGTAGCAAACATTTCATTACAGCCTAAAGCAAAATTTAGCAAGTCAATGATTGTATGATCCCCTCTCTGGGATTAATATATTCACAGTCAAGCGCTACACTTGTAGGGGTCATACAGCTTCTGGGCAATGGGAGGTAATGACGTTTGATTCAAGGAGAGTATTTTCAATTCCTTGAATCAAGAGCCCTTTACCAACATCAACGTCCTTTACCCACCTTTAAGGGTTAACCCCACCTCCCCCCCCCCCCAAAAAAAAAAGTCAAACATTTATGCAAATTCTGTATATGACAAGTATGTGTTTAGTAATATAAAATAACCCAATTTACTAAACTCGTGTAAGAATTTGCATGATTATTACATTGTTTCCTTTGGGGGGAGAGGAATTTTCAGGTGACTGGAAAGGAAAATGAGCCTGCAAAAAAAAAAAAAAAAAAAAAAAAAAAAGACTAAAATCGATAAAATAAGTGAACGTATTTTAAGAATTCATCAAAACAGAAGAATCTTCTGTTAATTCTAAGCATTAAAATAATCGTACAACATGATACTAAGAAGTAATATCGTTGCAGAGTAAACCGACAGTACGTAAATAAGACATAATAGAGGAAACATCTTCACAATAAAAATGGCATAATCCCCCCCCCTGTCTTATTTACATACAAGACACTAAGATGCTAACATGTCAACAACTATTGTGTGTGTACTCACCGTGGTGGTGAAGAAGCAACAACACTGGTTATACAGTTGAGAAATGTATGCCATGACCGTCAGACACTTCTGCACCTGGTTTGTACACTAGATGATGTGAGGACGCCTCGCTCTGTCCTAAGCGCCGTTCACAAATACGTTATTCTTTTCCCTGGACGCTTGTCCTCGCCATATTGTGGTAACTAACATCAGCTGATTTAGTACACGATGGGGAAAGTATGTACGCCTTTGGAAGAAATCCGGTTGCCGACTCAGGTTTGGTCTGAGATGTCTCGTTCTGGGAGGGTTATGCAAGTCTCCACCTTGCTGCCCGAAATGCCCCGGCATGATGGTAATAATATAATAATATCTTCATTTACTACAAGTACATGTACATGGTATACAGGCCTAGCTGACAACAATGACATACTACTATATAGAAAGCCCCTTGTTATGCTCCGCATGTCGGGCAAATTAGGTCAGTGTCCCAAGATGCAACCCGCACCAGTCGACTAACACCCAGGTACCCATTTTACTGATGGGGAACATAGACAACAGGTGGAAAGAAACACGCCCAATGTTTCTACTCTGGCTGGGAATCGAACCCAGGCCCTCGCCGTGTGAAGCGAGAGCGTTAACCACCAGAGCTTTCTTTGTATTTAGCAAATCAGTATTGTAATTACACATTGTAAACTATGCAAAGAAATAAAATCCTTAATCCTTAACCTTTCTGTCCAGAATTAGGCAATATTTCCTCGCCGGACGCCAGGAAGTACGGCTTAATGGTGTAAGCTCAGGTGGACCTGAACCGGATGATGTGGAGTATAGTGTCTTCAATTTTTAACAGGGTAACCCGAAAAGCCAGGGAAAGGGAGAGGTCATGTGACCTGAACTTCCAGTTTGCAGGTTATCATTTGACTAAGACACGAGTCATTAAACGTTTGGCTTTTGTAATGATGAATAAAATAGCTCCACCGCCATCTGAATCAAAAGACTGACATTATTACATGCAAAGGGAAGCGCTAAGCCAATATAAAATATGTGTCATGTAATGCTTGGGGAATAGGAGATGGGAGGCAATCAGATATGAGCCAAGATATTATTATTATAATCAAGGGGAAGCGCTAAACCCGTAGGATTGTACAGTGCCTGTGGGGGGAGGATGTGGAAGGTATTCAGGCTTAATTCGGGGAACTGGAGCACAGATTCAATTACCTAGATCAAGAGCCCCTCACCAACATCAAGGAACCTTCCTCGAGGGGCAAGAAAAGAGAACGAAACGGATAAAAGCAGTCTTTTGTAGGCTAGAACATTCTAGACAACTGTACTCTGACAGCTGCTCTAAGCTACATTATTCACCAGCTAAGAGCTATATCAGCTTTGGGAAACTGATGACAAGTAACATTTGCACCTGAGAAAATGTTACTGCAAGCAACATTTGCACCTGAGAAAATGTTACTGCAAGAAACATTTGCACCTGAGAAAACACAAATGATGATGGTCTCTAGGCACCATGATGTTAATGCCTGAGCAGTAGTATGAATGGAGAGTGTTGGTACCTGGAGAAGACGTTGATATCCCTGGGGTGAAATATGGCTCAAAACTAACCATGAAGAACCACGTTGTAAATCTTGCAAACAAGGCGGCCAGGAAGCTTACAGCACTTCAACGTATTTCGCATCTGCTTGACGGTAGGGGTTGCAAGATTCTGTATGAGGCACAAGTATGCTCACACCATGAGTATGCTCCACTTTCTTGGTTTGCCTGCCTCCCCCCCCTCCCTCTCAAATGCGACTGCTTAACAGAGTAGAGAACAGAGCAGGAGGTCTCATCCCTCGCCTGGACCCATCTTGGAAAGATCTGTAATTTCAGCAAAGCTTTCAACACAGGAAGGATGTGAGTGGCCTTACTGTTATGTACAAGACCAACATAACTAAAGTATCACACTTGGCTCCACTTCGAGGACAGCGAGAAGCAAGCTTCTATACCACAAGGCGGGAAGAAAACAGCAACTTCACTCTGGCTGTACCCTTCTCCAGAATATCACTTCATTTAAGATCATTTATCCCCAGAATGACTAGAGTCTGGAACACATTCGTACAGCATTATGATGTCAACGAGATAGTCAGTTGTCCAAATGAAAATGCTGGCCCACAGATGGCTCCAACTTCATCCTGTTCCCTACTTTATTCCATAACAATAAAAATAGTTTCAAATGAGCTGATGTAGGTAATAGCTCTTAGCTTGTCAATAAAGTTAGGAATCCTTAACCTAACCATATCAAACCCTGTGAAAAAAAAGTCACATAAAGGGCAAATGCGGAACCAACTTATATTGTTATATACTGTACATGGGGAAGAGATAAAACTCGATCACACAGGGTGTAGAAGGCAATTAAATTTGATCAAATTGCCTTCGCGAGACGAAAATTAAACCTTATTTTAATTTAAGATCTACACTCAATTTAATTAACTTACATGACAAAATTTACCAAAGATTCTCCATTATATTTATTGTAAAGCGCTAAGCACTAACGGTAGTATAACACCTGGGAGGCAATCAGGACTGATCCGAGGGAGTGGAGGGTAGCTCCAGCTACTCTGATCATCACCCCCACCTTAAAGGGTTTGTATACAGTGAAAAAAAAAATGTATCTCCCTCGATTTAAACATACACGTTTACTATACTTGTTCATAAACACATCATTAGCTTGAAGCTTTCAAATGCTGAAGTGGTGTTAATTCCTCTGATCATGTGAAACTTTAAAGGTAAAACTATATACCTTTACATTAGTCATTTTGTCTGAAAGCAAAAAAATATGCCCTAGTGAGAATTCATCGAAGATGTGGAAATTTCAGCAAACAATAAGACAATATCAATATAAAGTGCAAAATATTGTTTATTCAAGATAAATCATACAGGAGAGCAGGCGCAGTAAAACCCGCGCAAAGTATTACCCAGCACAGCTGAGAAAAGTAGATTATTACAAAAGAAAAAAAAAGATTGTGGTGCCAAATGACCTTAGGAAATTCATATAAAACGAGAGAGAAATGATAATCTTAAACAAGACAATATTTTGATGGAGCCCAAGACCTCCAGTGATTCTTGATCAGACTTATAGCTGTTGGTCGCGTGGCGACCAGTTTTGCCATTGATAAAGAGCAAGTTTATCCTCCCATAAACTACATTTTCTCCAGTTTCTTTTCAAGTAGCTTCAGCTGCTCCCTTATCACATTAGGAAGGTCATCGCCAACTTGTTCACTGAAGTACTTGGAAATATCGCGGACTTCTTGTTCCCAGAACTCCTTGGGAAGACTAAACAACTCGTCCATATCAACGTCCTCATCCAGGCCAGACAAATTGATAGAAGAATACTTTGGCAAGAGTCCTATAGCGCTCTCTTCGGCCACATCTTCGCCGTCAACTCTCCTTAGGATCCAGTCCAAGACGCGCACGTTCTCCCCAAAACCTGGCCAAAGGAAGCGTCCTTTCTCGCTCTTACGGAACCAGTTCACATGGAAGATCTTGGGAAGAGGCTTCTCTGTGCGGGTCTCCATGCTCAACCAATGCTGCAAGTACTGACCAAAGTTGTAGCCGAAGAATGGTCTCATGGCGAAGGGATCGTGCATGATCACCTTACCCTTGTGTTCCGCTGCTGCTGTTGCCTCAGACCTCATGGCAGCTCCCACCATCACACCGTGCTTCCAGTCGTACGCCTCGTACACCAGAGGAACTCCTTGGGGTCGTCGTCCGCCGAAGAGAATTGCAGAAATGGGTACACCCTTAGGATCTTCCCACGCAGGGTCAATGATGGGACACTGGCCGGCGGGCGTGCAGAATCTGGAGTTAGGATGAGCTGCTGGTTTACCAGATTCTTTACTCCAATTAGTGTCTCCCAGCCATGATGTGATAGTCACATCATTGGCGATCTCTTTCTCCATTCCTTCCCAGAACACTCCTCCATCACTAGTCCTGGCAACGTTGGTAAAGATTGTGTTGGCGAGGACAGTCTTCATGGCCACAGGATTGGTTTGCATGGAGGTGCCTGGAGCTACGCCGAAAAATCCGTTCTCGGGGTTGATCGCACGCAGCACCCCATCCTCGTCAAATTTCATCCAAGCGATGTCGTCTCCCACACACTCCACTTTGTAACCAGGCAGCGAGGGTGTCATCATAGCCAAGTTGGTCTTGCCACATGCAGAAGGGAAAGCTGCAGCAATGTACTTCTTGACACCCTGAGGGTTGGTGATGCCCAGGATAAGCATGTGTTCCGCCAACCAGCCCTCACGTCTGGCAATGGTGGAACCAATGCGCAGAGCAAAACACTTCTTTCCCAACAGTGAGTTGCCTCCATAACCTGACCCGAATGAAATAATCTCGTTAGTATCAGGCACGTGGGTGACGATGGTTCGTGCCGGGTCACAAGGCCAGTTGTTGACTAGAGGTTTCTTGAGGGGCAGCGGGCAGCCAACAGAATGGAGGCATTTTACAAAGTCTTCTTCACCTAGAGTTTCCAACACCTTACCACCCATCCGTGTCATGGTGCGCATAGAGGCCACAACATAAGGAGAGTCAGTCAGTTCCACTCCAATCTTGGAGAGTGGAGAACCGACAGGGCCCATAGAGTACGGCACCACGTACATGGTCCTGCCGGCCATGCAGCCAGGGAAACGCTCCTGGACTGCAGCTCTCAGATCCTCAGGAGACATCCAGTTGCCCAGGAGGCCCTTCACGCCCTCCTTCGGAGTGGGGATGGTCTCGCTTCGATCTTTAGTGACTATAAATGTCTTGCTCTCCACACGAGCTACATCTCCGGGGTCAGTGCGGGCCAACCAGCAGTTCTTATACTTGGGGAGATGTTCTATCATGCCAGCCTGCTGCATCACGTTTAACAGATGTCTCATCTCGCGTTCGCTGCCATCGCATATATGCAAATTTGCCGGCCTACACAGACGAGCACTCTCCTCCACGAAATTTCGCACCTGTTGACAATTATACATTCTAATTACTTTAGGTTAAATATATTATAACAGTTATTTCAACAATTTAAATTAAACAAGAGCACAGTAAACAAGTGATATCACAATATACAGAACCACTGTGAAAGTGAAATTCCAAGCGCTTTCGTGATTTCTTACATTATCAAGGAACTGTAGTCCTTGATAATATGATAAATTACTTAAGTGCTTCGAATTTCACTACTTTTTCAGTGGTTGTTCTGCATGCATATATATATGCATACATACATATTTCATGTACACACATTATATATATATATATATAATATATATTTTATATATATATATATATATATATATATATATTAATGAATAGGAAAAAATATGTACCAACCTTGGGTTTTAGGTTAACAAGTTTGCCGTAGATGACTGACAAACTTCTACTCTGGAAGTCTATGTTCTTTTTGGCCGCCTCAGAGGCGACTCTCGAGGCCTCACTCAGCATGCTGGTCAACCTGAAGAAAAAAAGAGAAATTTGCCATTATTTTGCACTGTCCGACAAGTTAAATTTGAACGTAACATTTAGCAAGTCCGCGATGTGGACTTGGAAGTACGGTATTCTATGAGGAAACTTAAAAAAAAAAATATCCACCTTGCCCAGACAGGATATTATTCACGTTGGTGACTTAATTATATTCATTTTCTAGTCATAACATTACATCCATAGAGAGAGCTCAACCCGTAGGAGTCGCAGACTCTTGGGAAACAGGAGGCTTTCAGAGTAGATTTAAGGGGAGGGTAGCTCCAATTCCTTGGACGGTGAGCCCTTCATTAGTCAAGGAATCTTCGTTAAGGGGTCGATAAGCGATAAAATTGATTCAAGGTGATTTTTATATATTCGTGATATACCTATAGATATATATCTGGGGTCATGACATACCTATAGACGTATATCTGGGGTCAGGAAATGGTGAAAGCCTGTAAATAGGCTAGATAGGGGTTAAGAACCCAGAAATTGCTCCATTCCGTACTGAACGTTCCTGCTTCCCTTTACCGTTCTTACTAGTTTTGATATGGATGTTTTCGTGATTTTTTTTTTTTTTTGGTATTCGATTCGAAATAAAGATGGACTTGATGGGAATAAACATTTGGCTAACAATTTAAAGCTCCTTGTGCTATGTACAGAGTAACTACATACCCATAAAGCTTCGAAGAAGTGGAAATTACATTGCTACCTGTAATCGGTTTTGGGAGTCACCGCCCAGTGGCCCAGTCTCAGATCATCTCTCGGTTATTGACTGACCCAGCTATTGGTGCCAGCCGCACGCAAACCAATGTATGCATCAAGGCCCGGCTGCATTGTAATTTTTAGTACAATGCACCACTGCTAGCTAAGTACACTTTTAGTGTTGGATATACTTAAGCAAATTTGCTATTAGTGGGGGAAGTGATACACGATCGTTGGATGTAAAATAAATTTGGCAAATTAATAAGACAGTAGCAACAAAAAACTTTATAAAGCTTAAATCTACTGTCTCAAAGAATTGTTTCAAGTTTGTCATTCAATGACGCCTTGAAGAAACATAGTAACAAATATCCGTCATAGCTGGTCCATTGATTTAGTTTTAAAATATAGTTCGCGCTATTAAGACTGCCGGGAAGTCCGCCGTAGAGGAAATGTAAGACTCCTTTCTACTGTTAAAATGGATAGTGAAAAGTTAGAAAAAATGGATATACAAAAAATTAAGCAATGTTCCACATCACGGTGTGACCTATTAGTAAATAAATGATTTACAGTTATTAAGCTACTTAAATGAGAGTAAAAAAATAATAAATGGAGACTTCCATTTATCAATAATAATAAAGACAAAACTCGCATTTCACATGTTCCTGCAATAAAAAAAAAATAATTTTAAAACTACTCTGTATAAGAGGACCCACCTGGCTTCCTGCGCAATATTGTTGTTAGTGTTGTTACTGAGAACCATGTTGGCGAAGCTTCTGGACGATGATAATAACGATTGGTGGCGAGGCCCAGATGTTCAACTATGACCATAGCTAGTCAACCCAAGATGGTAAGTGGATGGAGAGTAACGTGGTCGCCCGCGTCGGCTGCTTAAATAGTCTTGCTGCCAACTGACGTCATTATGATGTTGGACTGCGGACTTTGAGCTTAAGATAAGATTTCTTTATCCTATCATGATTGACTACTATCTTTTCCATTAGTCTGATGTAATAAACGCTGCGATATTCTTTAATTATATTTTTTATCACTTTAAAGATTCGTTATAACAGCAAAAAGATGTACATATATATTTAAGCAATCGAAGCTGATAGGAGCATCTCACACATCAGTTGCTGAAGCGTGATTGGCTGGGGAGAGGGCCGAGCCCCCGGAATGGCGGAAGCTGATTGGTTGAGAGGGACACACCTCCACTCTAACATGGCTGATGCAACACACTTGTCAACTACATAATACATCCTTCCAAGATGATCAAAGAATAACTCCTTCTTACCGTGTACTATGGTCATTAAACCTTAGCCTTATACAACAGAGAACGTTGCTACAGCAAAGTTTTCATTCTGGGAGGGAGTATACAGCATACATGTGAAATTTCTTGGCCTACCCTTCTCCGTAGCTGCGCCACTGCACAGAGATATGTACGTTTTCAGTATATATACACTTTGAAAGTTTAATCCCTATTTTAAGAACTAAAGTATTTTTTTTGACTAGTATGACTAGGCTACAGGTCACTGACCACGATGTACAATATGTAAGGATTTTCTGTCCGAATATATATTAACGTCTGCACCTGTTTCTTTTATTTAAAACATCAACATACATAAGACAGGTGCAACAATAAAATACCATCGAGGGAGATTCCTTGATACTGGAACTATTTGCCCTCTGCTTCCTTAGACTGAACCTGATTGCCTCCCATTTCCCAGGCGCTACTACGGGTCATGTACTGTACTTTGATATAAACTGTGGCATCAGCCACATTTACTTACAACACAGTTAACTGAAGCTGATACGTAATGAAGTTAAATGCATTACACACACAAAATAATACACACAAAAATACATACATTATAGCACTGCTGGCACTTTAAACAATGAGTTTTCATAATTACCGAAACGTCGCTACATATAATGAATAAAATTAATGATGAATAACATTAAGGAATCTGACAACATGTGCGAATCATATTTATAAGACTTGACAATATGTATCAATACGATCCTGTACTATAAATATTACATAACACAAAATTTTTCCATCTTATTAACTGCAATGACCCTTTGTAAGATAGTCAGGCAGTGAAGACGGAGTTCCTGCAAGTGGTTAAAAATGCTACATTACACCCTTTTGAGAATTCTTGATCCTTGCCTCTACCTTGTCATTTCCATAAAAAAAATCACATACCAAAGAAAAATATTATTCAAAGTTCTCCACCCTACTGAATCATGTGTCCCTACCAATCCAGGATGAACAAAGCACCCCTCCCTCCCGTCACCTATATCCTGGTCTGTGAGTTTTAGGACTCATGCCATGGGTTCAATCCCCACCCATTCCCTGATTTGCCTGATATTAACTTACCGGGATAACATACTGGCCCGGTGCGATCGCCTAACTCACTACGCATTCCGGTTCCCTTAACACCTTATCAAAGAGTTTATAGTCCACACGAGTGAAATATAGCTGATCTTCACTTGTTCCTTGCCCTTCGGTACAAGGACCGTCATCACTGTCGACTGTACCTGGCTCAGCCGACTATCCTCATTCACGATGTTCATCAGGAACACCATCCTCACCATAACCCCAATGCTGCACTCATCTGAGACCCCAATCAATTCCCGGTGGTTCCCTACTTGCCACCAACATCGCCCCAAAAAATTATTATAATCATGTGGAGCGCTAAACCCATAGGATTATACAGCGCATGTGGGGGAGGGAGTGGAAAGTATTCCGGCTCAATTCAGGGAACTGAAGCACAGATCCAATTCCCTAAATCAAGAGCCCCTCACCAGCGCAAGGAACTTCCCTTGAGGGGCGCACCCCCCCCCCAAAAAAAAAAAAAAAAAAAAAAAAACTTCTCACTGTGTAATATACAGTGGTTAAATTTCGTCACGTTAAGCGACGCCAAGTCATTCATGTATAAATCCTGTTAAGAGGACATATGGGATTTTAGAACTCGAAGTAATTTAGTGCATTTTTTAAGTCCGGTTTATTACTATAGCGTGAAACCCTTCAAGGGAGAGGGGATGAAGTGATCTTGGTGAAGGGCTCTTGACCATAGGCGCGGGAGCTACCCTTTACATCCTCGGATCAAACCTGATTACCTCATTAATTAGGCATTGTAATATCCTTTTTGGGCTTAGGGTTTTCTGTGAGTATAATAATAATAATAATAATAATAATAATAATAATAATAATAATAATAATAAATACGAATTCATTTTTTTTTGTAAATATGATAATTCTGTCTACTACATTTGCTGTTACAGGTGGTTGGTGCTGCTAGCACTGATGTTACTGAACCTGGTGCTGTTCGTGCTACTGAATCTGTGCTATTCGTGCTACTGAATCTGGTGCTGTTCGTGCTACTGAATCTGGTGCTGTTCGTGCTACTGAATCTGGTGCTGTTCGTGCTACTGAATCTGGTGCTGCTCGTGCTACTGAATCTGGTGCTGTTCGTGCTACTGAATCTGGTGCTGTTCGTGCTACTGAATCTGTGCTGTTCGTGCTACTGAATCTGTGCTGTTCGTGCTACTGAATCTGTGCTGTTCGTGCTACTGAATCTGTGCTGTTCGTGCTACTGAACCTAGTGCTGTTCGTGCTACTGAATCTGGTGCTGTTCGTGCTACTGAATCTGGTGCTGTTCGTGCTACTGAATCTGTGCTGTTCGTGCTACTGAATCTGGTGTTGTTCGTGCTACTGAATCTGGTGCTGTTCGTGCTACTGAATCTGGTGCTGCTCGAGCTACTGAATCTGGTGCTGTTCGTGTTACTGAATCTGGTGCTGTTCGTGCTACTGAATCTGGTGCTGTTCGTGCTACTGAATCTGTGCTGTTCGTGCTACTGAATCTGGTGCTATTCGTACTACTGAATCTGGTGCTGTTCGTGCTACTGAATCTGTGCTGTTCGTGCTACTGAATCTGTGCTGTTCGTGTTATTGAATCTGGTGCTGTTCGTGCTACTGAATTTGCTGTTCGTGCTACTGAATCTGGTGCTGTTCGTGCTACTGAATCTGGAGCTGTTCGTGCTACTGAATCTGTGCTGTTCGTGCTACTGAATCTGGTGCTGTTCGTGCTACTGAATCTGTGCTGTTCGTGCTACTGAATCTGTGCTGTTCGTGCTACTGAATCTGGTGCTGTTCGTGCTACTGAATCTGGTGCTGTTCGTGCTACTGAATCTGTGTTGTTCGTGCTACTGAATCTGTGCTGTTCGTGCTACTGAATCTGGTGCTGTTCGTGCTACTGAATCTGTGCTGTTCGTGCTACTGAATCTGTGCTGTTCGTGCTACTGAATCTGGTGCTGTTCGTGCTACTGAATCTGGTGCTGTTCGTGCTACTGAATCTGTGCTGTTCGTGCTACTGAATCTGGTGCTGTTCGTGCTGGTGCTGTTCGTGCTACTGAATCTGGTGCTGTTCGTGCTACTGAATCTGGTGCTGCTCTTGCTACTGAATCTGGTGCTGTTCGTGCTACTGAATTTGGTGCTGTTGATAGGTTTATTTATAAGTAAGTTTATTCACGTATACACAAATACAGTTACATAGAATTATCATACATAGCAGCATATGTGTAGAGAACCTAGGATAACCCAAAAAAGTCAGAGAGTGACTTATTTCCATTGGGGTCCTTTGATTATTTTCATTGGGGTCCTTTATATATTTACCGCTGCTGATTCTGATAATACGAGTGGCTGTCTCCTGGGTGTGAGAGGAAGAGCGGTGTCAAAATTTAATTAGCCCCGAGGATAGTCCGCCTGGTCCACAAAAACCTGGCCATGACGCAATGTACACGGACCCACTCCGTGGTTGCCTCTGTCTCACAGGGTCCCGGCTCCCGAAGACCCTCGGCTGCTCATTGTTCGGCCCCACCTCACGAGGTCCTGATTCTTGTAACATCCACCTTCGGTAACTGGAGATTCTCTTATCACTACCTTGCTATCTACCTCTAAATTCCCACACCAGGCCCGTGGCATGGTGGCAAAAGCTCTCGCTTCATACGGTGAGCGTCCGGGTTCGATTCCCGGCGTGTTTCCTTACACCGGTTGTCCATGTTCACTCATCAGTGAAGTGGGTACCTGGGTGTTAGTTGACTGGTGTGGGTCGCACCCTGGGATAAAATTTACCTAATTTGCCTGAAATGCTCTGCATTACAAGCGGCTTTCTATGTAGTAGTAAGTCATTGATGTCAGTTAGGCCTGTATACCTTGTACATGTACTTTTAGAAATAAAGATATTACTGCTAAGGAACCCCAATGAAATGTCACTGTGTGACTTTTTTGGTCTAAGGTAATTTACACATGTATGATAATTTGTGTAACTGTATTTATGTATACCTGTACCTAAATAAACTTAATCCTCACCCTCCTCCCACAGACGCCTTTACCTGCCCTAACTACAATAAAGTCTCTTCATGTTCAGTGTCCACTGGCCGGTTGTACCTTCCGCGTCGCACTGCGCCTGCGCGGGTGGTGGAAAGTTCCTCTCTCCATGAAGCAATTTGGCTTGACCCTGAAGAAATAATGTTTGATTCAGAGCGTTTAGTGTGTTAGGACGGGTGTGTCAGGTGTTAGAAATGTTAGGATGAATGTACTGTGTTGGGTATTGTGTTAGCATGTATGTTGCATGTTTTCAATATGTTAGGACAGACGTGTTGCTTCAGTGTTTACTGAATTAGGACGAGTATGATGGATGTTTAGCATGCTGAGACGATTTTTTTTTTTTTTATTCGCCGGTATTCTCCCGGCCCGGGTCTTTTCCAAGTAGTGGTGACCCGGCCTTGGCATTTATTGTTGCTAAATTATGCATCAGACAATTTTAACATATTTTTTAATACTGTATGTGAATGGAAAAATTTTTTTTTACATAACTGATCCTAGTTATTCCCAACTATTTCTAAATATCTACCTTGATGAGATATTTTCATTATTATTATTATTATTATTATTGGGAAGCGCTAAACTCAAGGACCCCAATCGAAATAAGTCACAATGACTTTTTTGGGGGTTATCCAAGGTAATCTACACACATGCAGCTATGTATGATAATTTATGTAACTGTATGTGTACCTGTACCTAAATGAATTTACCTGTAGTGCTTGAGAAATAGAATTAACTCTCAGTACATTGTCAAATGATGTGATCTTCATAACACACATGACGTGACCTGACCTCCTCACCTCCCACTGCCTTGACTTCAGATTGCGTCGCCAACACGTCCATAACTTCATCAAAGCCATCCAGTTTTTTTATGTTCGTTTTATTGTCTCGTTTTGATTTATTTTACTTGATTATTGTGAGTTTTATTGTGAAAAGACACATACAGGCGAAGAGGCGGGGCCAGGAGCTGTGAATCGACCCCTGCAACCACAAATAGGTGAGTACACACACACACACACACACAAACCAGGAGCTTGGATTCGACCCCTGCAACCTCAACTAGGTAAGTACACACACACACTATTGACAAGTGCCTTTGATAACTAGTAACCAGAGACATTAAATTTCTTAGTATTTAACCTTCCTGTGTTTTTTAATATCCATTGTGCAATAAGCATTCCCTTATGTATTGAACATAGTCATTATAATTTAAGAAAAAAAATTATAATGACTATAATTATAATGACTATAGGAAAATTATCGGTATCAACCGAAAATTGTTTCGGTATTGGCAATTTTACCGATACTGATTAATAATAATAATAATAATAATAATAATATTGTTATTATTATAATCATGGGGAGCACTCTGTACAGCACCTGGGGAAATGGAAGGCATTCCGATTCGATCCAAGGAAGAGAAGCTCCAACGCCTTGGATCATGAGCCCCTCACCAGCATTAAGGGGCCTCCTTGAATACTCCCTTGAGGACATTACTACAACGAGAAACACTAAAGTTCGCGTGGGACAGCACACGAGCAGCAAAAAGGCAGCTTTAACAGCAAACAGCTTCACCAAAGTAATCCTTGGATAATACTCCCCAGAATAATAATTCCCGGGAATAATTCTGTATTGTGGTTATTAATCTCCCACCTGTGGTGACGTCAGTGGCCAGATCCTGTAACCTGTATCAGGGAAATGGGGAAAGGAGAGAGTAATGGAGGGCGGAGCAGAGGAGAAAATGAAGACAGTGGAAACTGAGCAAGAAGAGGGCCAGGAGGAAGTGGAGGTAGAGGAAGTGGAGGTAGAGGAAGTGGAGGTAGAGGAAGCAGAGGTAGAGGAAGTGGAGGTAGAGGAAGCAGAGGTAGAGGAAGTGGAGGTAGAGGAAGTGAAGGAAGATGTGGAAGTAAAAGAAATGGAAGAGGAGGAAGCAGAAAACGAAGAGAGAGTACATTAGGAAGCCTCGTACACTGTAACCAACTCTTTGCTATTGATTTTTTTTAACGTTGTTGCCTCGTACCAAACCTGGAGCTGCTGACGTGCAAGCCTCTCTTTCTCTCTCTCCATCACTAATAACTCCCTCCCTCCTTCACACTCTTTCCATCACATTCCTTAGTCTTATATCTCTTCTTTTGCTAGACCTCCCTCCTTCCCTCTAGGTTTTTTTTTCCTTTTCCCTCCCACTTTCCGTTCCTAACATTCTGTTCTACTTCATCCCTCTCTCTCATTCTCCTTCCCACTTTCTCCGAATTATTTCCTGCTCTCCACTCTCCCTGACTATCTTTCCTACGCTCTCTCTTTTCCTCTCACACCCTCTCTCTCTCCCTACACTAGTGCGGGCGTATTGGGTTCCAGGATCTCAGGAATATTCCGCCCCTGAAATAACTGGGAATTTCCACAGGACCTGCTATTGCTGGCAATACACATCTGGGTCCGAGTGCGTTCGTGTGCAGTTACCAGTTGTCAAAGGCACTTGTCGATAGACACCAGGCCTCCCTCTCCCTTTGTGTGTGTGTGCTGTGGTGTGTGTGTGTGCTGTGGTGTGTGTGTATGTGTGCTGTGGTGTGTGTGTATTCATCTAATTGTGGTTGCAGGGTCGATTCACAGCTCCCGGCCCCGCCTCTTCACAGGCCGCTACTAGGTCCACTCTCTCCCTGCTCCCTGAGCCTTGTCGTGCCTCTTCTTAAAGCTATGTATGGATCCCGCCTCCACTACACCACTCTCCAGACTGTTCCACTTCCTGACTGAAGAAATACATGTACTTCCTAACATCCCTGTGACTCATCCGAGTCTTCAACTTCCAGTTGTGACCCCATGTTGTTGTGTCCCATCTCTGGAACATCCTGTCTCTGTCCACCGTGTCGATTCATCTCAGTATTTTATATGTTATTATGTCCCCCTCTCCTATCCTCGTGTCGTCAGGTCGATTTCTCTTTACCTCTCCTCGTAGGACATGCCCCTTAGCTCCGGGACTAGTCCCGTTGCAAACATTTGCACATTCTCTAATTTCTTGACGTGCTTAACTAGGTATGGGTTCCAAACTGGTGCTGCATACTCCAGTATGGGGCTGATGTACACTGTGTACAGAGTCCTGAATGATTCCTTACTGAGGTGCCGAAAGCTATTCTTAGGTTTGCTAATCGCCCAAACGCTGCAGCAGTTACTTGGTTGATATGCGCCTCCACGAATTGGTTGAGGACTGACAAATTCATGTAGTGTAATGTGTGTCTTCGTCATGCTGTGATACAGTCACACATACTCTTAGAATCATTATGTAGGTGATCTTGCCTACACCACTTCCTCGTCTACAGTAGATCGTTCCACTTACAAACCGCATTCAACCTGAAGAACTTCCTGCCTCTATGATTCATGTGTGTGTGTGTGTGTGTGTGTGTGTGTGTGTGTGTGTGTGTGTGGTGTGTGTGTGTGTGTGTGTGTGTGTGTGTGTGTGTGTGCTAGTAGTGTCCCTTCTGTTTTTTTTCATCATATAATTTAAGTTACCAATAAGTGTAACATTTACTGCCTCCTCATTTCATTTATTCCATCTGTTTACTACTCTACACTACACACACTCATCACAATACGAGGAAATATCTAGCAATATTATACAGCTCACAGTGTCATTTGTCTGGCTACACTGCAGATTATTATATCAGGAACTTGGCGACACTGATTGCTGTTATCCCGGTGATCTGTTTACTGTGAGTAACATCCTGGTGACTGGCTGGATCTGGCTACAGTGACGAAGCTAACCTAAACACAAGACAAATCCTGTGTGGAGTCGCTGTGGGTTGAATGGGTGGGAAGTTATTCCAACCCTACATTATTATTATTATATTATTATTATTATTATTATTATTATTATTATTATTATTATTATTATTATTATTATTATTATTATGGGGGATTACACAGCGCCTGTGGGGTGAGGGAAGGCATTCAGGCTCAGTTCAGGGAACTGGAACACAGATCCAATTCCCTAGATCAAGGACCCCTCACCAACATCAAGGAACTTCCCTTTAGGGTCCAACCCTACAGATTGAAGGGCCGAGCTTTGGCAGAGGGTGAACCGACAGACGAAGTGTAAATTGACAAGTGGAGGATTAACTAATTCATTATGATCTGAATTCCCATTTCTTATAGATGTTTAACAGATCACTGTAATAACCTCGTCTAAAGCATTATATTATTCCCCTCCCAGTAACTTGCATTAATGATGCTTTAGCACCAATTACGTATTTCCAATACTTTCACAAATTGTATACTCCTCATATATATGTAAATAATTTACAACATATAATTTCCTTGGTATATAAAGTGCTAACATGGGTTTGGTGGGTTGGGTGGGCATGAAACAACAACAACAACAACAATAATAAGAAGAGGAAGAAGAAGAGAAGAAAAATAAGAAAAAGAATGCCTAGATTATTATGTTCACGGGAAAGCGCTAAACTCGTCATAAAGCGAATCGAGTAATAAGATTTTATATAGGGAAGCTAAGGGCAACTCCAATTCCTTGGATCAGCTGCCCTTCACCAACATCAAGACACGATCCTTCCTCCCATCCTTGAAAGGTTTTGAAATTAAAAGTAATTACCGAATTTTAGATAATCAGGCAATAAAATAACTGGATGCACCACTATTAATTACACTCAACTCTTCCTTCAAGTTCCACATGAGTTCTTTCAAATATCTTCCGCGTGCTGCTAGGATGATGCTCAATAATTTATTATTATTATTATTATTATTATTATTATTATAGCTTGTATCATTATTGTTATTATTACTGGTATTTATCATTATTATTATGATTATTTTAACCATTATTATTATAACGTGCTATTGTTGCTGTTATTTGTTATTTATTATAATTGGTTTATTATTTTTATTACTATTATTATTATTATTATTATTATATTCATGGGAATTATTATTATTATTATTATTATAATCAAGGGGAAGCTCTAAACCCGGAGGATTATACAGCGCCTGGGGGGGATGTGGAAGGCATTCAGGCTTAATTTGGGGAACTGGAGCACAGATCCAATTCCCTAAATCAAGAGCCCCTCATCAATATCAAGGAACCTTCCTTGAGAGGATATTCATGGGAAGCACTGAATTCGTAGGGGTTAC